TTCTGCATGATAAGGCTGCACGGCTACAGCTAACTGTTTATTAAATGTTTCAGATTCGTCATAGTAGTATTGTATAATTAATAGGAGTCATAAGAAATCTGCTGGGACTCAAGAGTAAAACACTAATGTTGTTAACTCCCCGATAATGGGCATTTTACCCTGTGTGTGTCAGTCTTCTGGCACTGTGGCTGCAGGGCACAGTGTCTCTGTACTGCAGGCGCGAGCTGGTTAATGCTGTCCATGTTTAATGCATGAATGTTAATGGCCATGGCCCATCTGGGCCGCCCTGATTGCGAGAGAGATGAGTGATGGAGGGGTCTGGGGCGGGTTGTGTCGAGAAACAGATGTAGGTTGATTGTCCGGGACAGAGGCAAGATTAAGTGGGGGTGCCACATCACCATCACCTCATGCTTTTACTTTCCCCTGCTCCAAGTACTGGCTTGCTGCATGCAGACTTGATGAATCATGTGCTGACAGTGTGGCATTAAGACTGCCCTGAGCCACTTCCTGTTTGTTTCTTCATCTTGTAATTGTTCCACTGATGTGACTGAAAGCACCAGGGAGTCTTTACAGCAAGAAGAGCTGCAGAAGTTACTTTACTCCTACCCATCAGTGGAGGGTAATACCTCAGGTGGGGCTGCAGTAATTACCTGCTCTCACGTCTCCACAGCCTTCTCTGGGAACCTTTTCTGCCAACGGTCTAGCTCAGGCTTCACAGGGGCCACTGTATCACAAAACACTGGGCCACAGCCTTCAAGAGTGGGTTCTTTCCCAGAGCAGACAATCCTGTGGCTGTTTTGCCCCAGTGACACACTGATACGAGCCCTGCATGGTTATCGTTCTTATTGAAATTGACACACTTTGCATCACGGCCGGCTCGAGGAATGCATTAACGTCTAAACGGATGAATAAAGAAAGGAAACGAATGGGCGGACATCTCCTTGGCCAGAGGTTTGTTTTTTTTCCACTGTGCCTTGAGGGCTTTGAGGAGTGTGGCCGAACTGAAATAAAGAGGCAGTAAATGTTGTTCTGCGTGGACGAGAGAATGATGTTGCCCTGAAATTGCCGTGTGGGCTGGCGAATGAAAACCCCAGCCGCCAGAGCATCTTAGTCCACTGTCTGGCAAGGGGACTCTCACTAATGGATGGAGCGTGGTTAATTCATTTCATGCTCACTAAGTCCAGGGCCTCTATTTGTTTCTTAAGGGGCATTATGTTCTTAAAGGAAATGTATATTTGGAATGCTTAGCCAGTTTGATCCCTGGATTTGTTAAAACACATACTATGCATACAATATGTGTGTGCACAAATGAATTTTACACATGAGCCATTCAGTAGTGTGCATCCATGAATCATGAATACACAGGCTGGAAACACCCATCAGTATGATATTTGCTGTTGGACTGTTGACAGGCTCGTGATATTACACAGTTTTTGAACACGGGGAATTCTATTTCTTTTTGCCATTCGCAAATGTCAGTGGGTTCGAACAAAATAAGCAACACACTTTAGCGTGTATTTGTGCGACAAATACAACATATTTCAAATTCCACATTGTAATAATATGCAAGATCAGTTTTTATGGCTTTGACAATTAGGAGCATTGACAATTGACAATTAGGAGGATTGATGCAATGTCACAAGACTCTGATTAGTGAAGAATACAGCTATGAATTCTCCAAAGCTAAGAACATCTGGGGGCGATACAGTACACTGGTAAGCATTGTTGCCTCATAGTGCTGGGGCCCTGGGTTTAATTCTGGACTTGGGGTGCTACATGCATGGAATTTGTATGTTCGCCCTGTGTTCACATGCGTTTCCCCCAGCAGTGCAAAGACATACTGGTAGGTTAATTGTTTTCTGAGAAAACTGGCCTTGGTGTGAGTCCGTGCTTGTTCGTGTCTGTGTTTGTGAGTGCCTTGCACTGGACTGTTGTCCCATCCAGGATGTATGGCATCCCATCCCATTTTGCACCTGTTGCTTGCCAGGATAGGCTCCAGCCCCCTCATGCCCCTTAATTGGAAGGAGCGGTCAGAAAATAGATGGACTCATGGATAAGAACATCTGCTTGCTCTTCTGTAATGAGTGGTTATCGTTCATGTAGCCTTCCTAAAGGCTTCCTGCGGAGGTTGGGGGTTAGGGACCCTTCCTGCTGAGGTTTTTGCATCGTTCGTAGACTTTGCAAAGGTCACACCAAAAGGCCTGATATCAGATCAGACTCGGCAGCAGCTGGCCCACCGAGCGAGGAGCTGTTGTGTCCAGGGATTTTGCTGTGTCCTTTCCCCTCCTTCAGCCTATCAATTATTTTCAGCACGCTCTCACCAATTAGGGCTGCGAGATTTGAAATTGCCAGATTATCTCGCTTCCTAAAGTGTGCATCACAGAGGTGCTGCCGCTAATTGTCTGAGAGGGAAAATTCGGGCAGGCTGTCAGTTAGTAATAATTGACTGATTAACACCACGAGGAAACTGAGGTTTGACTAAAAAATCATAAAAATCCATATTCCAAGTGTGTGTAGCAAGGATCAGGATGTTACAAATGCACGTAGAGATGTTTATTTCCTCTCTGGAAAAGGCAGTAACAGAGAAATATTGATGTGTGTCTCTCGAGCTTTTTTCATTGTTTCTGGTACAGCAGGAAGCAGCTCAGAATGAAGGAGCAGTTCCTCTCATGCCGGTCACATTCTTTTGAAGTGCAATACTTCCTGATTATGACATTGTCCGCACTGATTATTTTCTTATACCTCAAGTGCACTTTGCCTAGCTCTAGGAATTTTAAATCAGGTTGTTTAAAGTTTAATCAAAGAACTGTACATATGTATTGAAACGTTCTGCCAAACCATGTCAGATCACTCTGCATTTTTCACCAAAACCTCCCTTTTAGTAAGATGGGCTTAAATCCATCCATTTTCTGACTGCTTCTTTCAGTTAGAAAGAAGCAGATAGGGTCATGGAGGAACTAGAGCCTATAGTGAAGCATTACAGTCTACGCACAGTCACAGACAAACACTCACACCTAGGGCCGATTTTCTCAAAAGCCAATTATCCTACTAGCGTGTACTGCGGGAGGAAACAGGAGCACCCAAAGAGAACCCAAGTAACCATGTGGGGAACATGCAAACTCCACGCAGACAGCACTCCAGGTCTGGAATTGGCCCAGGGCCCCAGTGCTGTGAGGCAGCAATGCTAACCATTTTACCACAGTGCCGATGGGTTTAATTAACACTACCAAACAGAGTCGACTCACTGATATTTTTCCTCTATTTCTATACCACTCCGCTTGACCAATCAAATGTCATTGTTCCGGATTTGAGCTCCTCTGTGTTTTGCCAGTACAATTAAATGATTTAAGTCTTTCTTCCACATTGTAAGATTGAGTCTGTAGAAATATAGATGCTTTCATAACACCCTCTTAGAAAACAGGTGGAGATTGTGTAGCTGCACTGACTTCATGCTTCTTATGTCTGTTCTGTACAACAGCAGACCCAGCTTATCGTGAACAAATCTGTGCATGGAAACAAATTGCCGGGTGCTACACAGCAGAGTTAGTTTATCCCTCTTGTTATGCTAATAGAGCTGAGATTAGCCTTGCCTAGTCCAAGTTAATTAGGGGTGATATTTAAATAAGTGCACTCATCTCAAAGACTCAGTGAGAGCTGCAAAATGCCAAACTTCTCACTAATTTGAGTTAGTGCAGGATGCCCCTCGTTATGATCCTTAGCTGATGAGATCCATTGCTGCCCTTAGGAAAAAGAAATAAGGGGGATTAATAAAGATATTGGATATTTTATACTTAATACTATTCTTTGATTAATGCCTGGTTTATATTTATGTATCACTACTTTCTGGAATATTGCTCAATGACATGTGACAGCAAATGGTAGCCACACTGGAGTTCTGGGCAGGGAGATAGGCTTTAGTTAGGTGCTGGCAGCTAAATTTCACACTCATCTCTCCATCAGTCCAATTGACTGGGAATGAAGTGGCATTTTTGTAACCCTTTATGGTCATAGCCAGAAACGCTTGTATTTATTTGGCCATCAATAATGCAGTCAGAAAGACTGTGGACCTGTCACCCTAGTCCCACCAGAACCCTAGCGTGTACTGGCCACTAGGGCCTTGCCTTGGAGAACATTCCTCACCTCACAGGTTAGAGCCTCTCGCTCCGTTTCGTCCTCTCCAGCTGTAGGAAATTTAACAGCTAGCGCAGAGGCCAGTCCGCTTGAGTTTGTTTCCCGCGGAATGGGTTGGTAGGAAGACAGGTCTTGTGCTTGGCAGGGGGGGCAATCCCATTGGCTTTTAAAAGCAGCTTCTGCCTCTTAGAGAGGGCGGTAAAGGCAACCTGACAAGGTCATCTCATCCTTGCGATCAGAGGTGCTGGTAGAAACTGCGCGCTCAGTGTCACTGCGCCAAGGACAAGGGAGCCTTCAATAAAAGAAGTGTCTCTCTCCAACTCTTAAGACGTTCGTGTTCAAGTGCATTTAAATGCACAAAACAGAATAGGATGTGGAGACAATTATTCTGTGTCTGATTTATTGCAACCTTGCAGACAGGTGATAAAAACCCAGCCCTGTGGTGATTATGCAGTATTGCTCATTTGTCATGTGTGTTTGGCCTGCCTTGCCCATTTTCCACAGCTAAGCAGTGAGATTAGCGATCAATGAGAGATATTGAAGGCGGATTCTCAGTCCTTTTCCTCCAAAATTAAAAGCAAATGGCAGCAGTGGAATGAATAGCACTTGAATTATGTTTACGAACTGTGAGGAAACAGAAGAGTTTTGTTCAGCTACTTCGGGTGGTCTAGCCAAGACGTTGTTATTTCAAGTTTATCAGGGACATAAAGCTTCCCAGAGCACCCCCAAGCCTTTCTTCTGATGCTCCTCTGTTTCTCCTTCCAGCCAGTAGGAGGCAGGGCAGAGGCTCAGCAGGGTGCTGTGGTGTGGAGAGGAGCTGTGGGCTGCCGCCGTGTCTGACCAGGAGCTGTCTTGTTTCTTTTCCGCAGCCATGGCAGAGTTCCACGTGCAGCCCCAGTCCGTGCTGGTGGAGCAGGGGGGTGTGGGGCGCTTCCAGTGCCAGATTCACGGCCTGCCAGAGCCTCTCATCAGCTGGGAAAAGAACGGAGCGCCTGTGGACACCGAGGATGAGAGGTACTGCCTTTGAATCCCCTCTCTGGGAAAGGCTGAGTTAGCAGACGTGTTACAAGCCAGCTGTTTTCGACACAGCTGTGATCATGGGATTGAAACGGCAAGTGTTGTCAGCTGTTTTTCTTTTAACACTTTTTTAATGACTGAGAAGCTCAAGCTATGCATTACCTTTGTAGACAAGCATTATGTAAGCTTCCACCTTGAGGCCTTCCGATTGAATTAGGAACTGCCCAGTCGAGTTCTATAGGGCTTTTTTATTAAGATGAATACAAAATGACTGTGTTTGAGGTCCCACAATCCAAAGCTCTTTGATTCCTGGTAGCAAACCTGGGTGAATAATTAAAGAGAGGAGCTTCAGTGCCCTTGCAGTGATCCCCACTGCACTTTTTCACAGCTAATGGATGGCATCTCCCAGCCTGTAGGGAGGGCTGCCCTGCTGTCCAGATTACCTCCTTTCTTCATCCACTCATTCACTGCCACACACCTTTTCGCCAGCACTTCTATCTCACACGCCTGAAGAAAAGACTGCTCAGCGCCAATTGTGCCTCATGTTACCTGTCTGATCATTTATGAATTGTAGTCTTATCTATTGATCTGTCTTAGCAGTCTGTCTGCAAGACTTATTACATGGCTATTTATGTGTTCCATGCTTTAGTGGTGAGTCGGTTTGTGAACAAGCAGTAGCGATTACAGTCTGGTTGGGCCTGGCTCGGGCGGTGTGAGTGAACGGCCCAACCAGACCGTAATCGCTACTGCTTGTTCACAAAACGACTCACCACTAAAGCATGAAACACATATATAGCCGTGTAATAAGTCTTGCAGACAGACTTATCGCAGCGGTGCGACCCAGTAATGCCGTCTCTCTCCTGGTCCTCAGGTACACCCTCCTGCCCACAGGCGTGCTGCAGATCACAGGGATCCGGCCCGAGGACAGCGGCATCTTCCGCTGCGTCGCGGAGAACACCGCGGGCGTGAAGCGCAGCGCGGGGGCGAGCCTCACTGTGTCAGGTGCGTATAGGCTCCGTCACCGCTGGCACACGGACTGGTGAACCCCTCGCCCTCACTAGGAATCATTACCCATCTCCTGCCCCACCTGTCACTTCGGTCAGTATGACGAAACATGAATCATGTTCACGGATACCGGGGAAAACTGTGCTGTGACTCTCCTGCATGAACATTTTCTAATGTAGTGACAGATAAGAAATGAACAGGGGCGAGAGATTTAAATTGGAATCCTCCTTCTGTCTCTCTCTCTCTCTCTCTTCCCCCTTGCCTCGCAGGCTCTCAGTCGTCTGTTTATAAGGAGCCCGCGATTCTGGTTGGCCCGGAGAATCTCACCCTCACGGTTCACCAGACTGCCATATTGGAATGCGTTGCCACGGGATACCCACGCCCAATCGTCTCCTGGAGCAGGCTGGGTGAGATACACAGCAGTGGAAGGATGTCATGGGCTGGCTCGGGCGGCATGGCGGTGCTCTTTTGTTTTGAGACGCTGACACCAACAGGCTATTGCTCTGTGTCCTCTAGATTCAACTGTAGTGTAGGTGGCTAGGGCAAGGAGCCCTCCAAGTGGCTTCGCTTTTGGTGCTCCTGTTTCAATACAGAATGCCCGAAGGGGAAGGTCCTGTTTATTCACTTGTTCTCTTTATGATGTACAACATCAAACTCTGCCAGCAAGATAAAAATATTAACATCAACCAATAAAAACAAAAGTCTTGCTATGGCTTTTTCACCAGTTCTTTGCTTCCTATTTCCACCAAACATTTCGATTTAGATGGCCCCAGCTTAGATGGCTCGCTTCAGTCGTCACTATTGGGAATTGAGCTCATGGGCCAAAGGCCAGCTTAATGGAGCTGAGACAGAGCCTGCTGGGTAAGAAGGCCGTGAAGTAGACGGGTGTAGCGGCAGTGTTTGCCACCCATAGCAAAGGGCCAGTCAAAAGCCCAGCTGGCAAGCCGGCGTCTCTCTGGTCTGGACACGGGGCTCCTCAGTTCAGCTGCTTCGGCCAGTTCCTTTCACTTCCTGACCTGCTTCAGTCGGAGGGAGAGTGCAAGACTGCTCCAGTAAAGTGAATAATGAGTCCCGTTAACTAATTAAGAGCCAACACAGGATAAAAACCAGAAGATTGGATAGGCCTACAAGGACTGGTGAGGACTTAGGAACACTGTTTCAGTCCATTCACCTGCAGAGAGGCCTCTTAATTAAGCATCTAATTCATTATGGACTAAAAGGAGGTAATTCTGCCAAAATTACTATGCTGCAATGGATTAGAAAGTCCTGCTTATGACAATGGAAAAGTGGAATAGTGGAATAGAGCAGACTCACAGTGTGACAGTAGTAATATATGGAGGGTAATGCATATTACTACTGTCACACTGCGAGTCTGCTCTTTCACAGTCAGCTGTGAAACACACAGACCCCCTGTCTCCCAAGTGCCGGAGGAACACTCCACTGCAAGGACAGTCAGAAGATTGTTATGCTATGATCCCCCTTCTCAGTGCGCTTCTGATAATGTTCAAAACCCACTCTTCAATAATTTAGCGTCTCTTTCAAAACCCATTATTCTATTGAATTTGTTGTACAAACGGTAACTTATTCCTCACCCCCCCTCCCGGCTTCACGTCCTCGCTAATAAGATATTCTTTCTATTTGCTTTGAATGCTGCTGCCAAAATTAAATGCTAACATGATGGCTTCTGTGAGTATTAGATTACCAGGGAAGAGCCTAGGGTAGGCTACATAATGAATCTGATGGATAAACATTAGTCTTTCTCTAATGGGAAAGTTTTCCTCCTTTTTATTCATCAATGCTGCTACATCTTTGTCGTCTTCCCTCTTTCTCTGTAATTCCATTATTGCCTGAGTTGCAGGGATCCACGTGAACTATAGAGGTTCAGTGTCCAGCTGATCCTTGGCAGCCCGTCTCTCCTCCCTGATGTTTGAAGGGTTCTTGTCCAGCTTTCAGATAGTAAAATGGCATTCCCTGTGCCAGGGGTCAGGAACCTTGCCTCTTCTAGTGCTATACTGTGGCAAGACTCTAAACCAATGGAAAGAGGAAAAAAAAAACCCACACTCAAATTGTTATGGTGCTTTCAAGTAAAAAATCAGTAAAGACGACAAAGTCAGTTGGGAACACACTTAATCTGATCAGAAAATAATTTATACATGTATGTTAGAACCAGTGTTTCATCATTCTCAAGTCTTCATCAGGACATACAGTACAGTACACCACTGGCTAGACGAAGATCTTGTCTAAGACTTTAAACCAACCAGCACATTAATCACTTAATTGACCATTAATTCCTCGATTGTACTTTAATTGTTTAATTGTTTCTAATTTTTTTTACCTTGATTTCTTAATTGGCTCTGTTGCTGAAGGTTGCGTAATGAGCAGCTCTCTCAAGTTCACTTGTCAAGTTGACTTGTCCTAAAGCCACACAGTGAAGACCATTGAAAGCTGAGCACTTCAACCACACATTGGTTTTGCCTTCAGTAGCAGCAGATAAATGAAAACCGGTTGACACTGGCTGGGAGAATCTGTTTCCCCCCTGTGCTGCGCTTGTGTCCTACTGTAGGTCATTATTCACTTGGCTTATCAGTCATGCCAATCACAAGCTGTAGCGGGAGTCTGCCTTATGGTTTGCATAGCAAATTGCTGTCTGTGTGTTGATCCAAATGGCTTTAAAAATAAACCACGGTAGTATATGTTGGCATCTGTGGATGCCTGGCACTGTCATTCACTGACATATTCAACCATTCGTCAAGTTGAATACGAGTGGACTGTAATCCTGCTTGACATCCATTGTGTTTAGAGTTCTTAATTGCATAATTGGATGACTTAATTGCTTAAGTGGACCATTTTATCCCCTCTCGGGTCTTAAGCCACCTGTAATTTTTAGAGATGAATAACAACAGCTTGGACTGTAGCAGGGAATGAGATGAGCTCCACCATCACAGAGAATCCCACAGACTTTCTGGATTCAACAGCTCTTCCGATTCCAAACGAGCCATCGACTTAAATAAGCAGCAAACTGAATCCATTAAAAATAATAAATCGAAGCACTTTGCTCTTGTATTTTTATGAAATATGCATAATACACTATGTCATTACAGTTTTGAATGTCTTCAATTTCATTTTGTGCAAGACCTGCACATGTGCTTGTGGAAATCCACTCAACTGGGTTTTCCATTTCACACAGGCCGGCCATATGGTCCCCCTCGCTGCCTGAATGAGATTGCTTTGCTGTGGCAGTCAGCCATGCAGTGTGTATGTTACACAGACCATCCATTTCAGCGCTCAGGTCTTTAGCACCTCTCAGTTTGAGTAATGTAGATGGCAGATGTCTGCTAAATGATGGAGCGCCCGGACGAGTAAAAAATTCCCGCTGTCATGTCAGGATCTTTTAAAATGCAAATGCGTCTTTCCCCATAAATTCGGAAAGGAAAGCCAACGAGAAGGGGTGGGAGCGGAAGGGACCGCGGGTAAAACAGAATTCGCTCCTTAGAACGTGTGAAATGGAGGCTCGTGTGAAATCCACCGCCGAGCTGTGCCTGCGAAGCACAAGAGCTCTGCCGTGGCTGATCCTGGGGTTGTTGGGGACGAGGACTGGGGGGTACGGGGGAGGGGGCTACATGTGACATCTGTAATGCTGTGTTCATGTGTACAACACCCCCCTCTTTACACGCACACACAGGGACACACACCCCGGCGCATTGAAACCATGGCAACAGAAATCTTCTCACCCACTCAAGGAGCAGCTGGTGGCGTTTTTTATCAGACTGCTCGACTGGGAGAAACTCTCTTCCATTGTCACACACCGGCAGCCGTGCCACAGCAATCCGCTTTTTATGCCTTGCAAATGTCTTTTTCAGAGGTGAGGTTTCTATATGCATTGCGATTTACGGCACGGAAATCCCGTTTTTCCCTTGAAAGATCTGTGCGTGTCGTGTAAAGAGAGGTGTGACAGACGCAGCCTGCAGTCCTTTAATCTCACCCCCTACTGATTGGATTTTGATGTAGTGACACACACAGACGTGCTGTATACCTGCACAGCTGACAACTACATGACACTCAGGGTAGGATGCTCTGTCTCTTCCGCTGCCTGGCTCATTCCAGTGTATCCTTTGTCGTTTATACTACGTGCAGTATTTTATGATATCTCTGCTTTGATCTGATTGTGTTCCCCCCTTTTTTTTTACTTGCCTGCAAATGTTTAGTCATAAAATACTTAGATTAAAAAAAAAAAATAACTTGGTGATAAATAACTGAGCTTCTATCCCCTGGAGAGAGACAGAGTCACCGCCAAGCATCTGTTGCAGCCTGGCCTGAGGGAGGGGGGTGGTCACTGAGCTCAGAGGCCTGGGGTCCCTGTAGTTCCGCTTTGCGGCGTTTCTAACCCTTCCCGTGTTCTTGTGCCCGACGCAGACGGGCGTCCGATCGGCGTGGAGGGCATCCAGGTGCTGGGCACGGGGAATCTGATGATCTCGGACCTGAGGGTGCAGCACTCCGGAGTTTACGTGTGCGCCGCCAACAAGCCTGGGACACGGGTGCGCAGGACTGCCCAGGGCCGGCTCGTGGTGCAAGGTGAGGGGCACGGTGCCCGCTGTGGGCCTCGGCGGGGACGAGGGCCAGTCAGGGTTTCTCTTGTAGCAGAGAGTCAGGGAGGGGTGGGCATTTTTCTTTATTAACATAGTTTTTTCATCTCTGTGGTGAGCGCCAACAGATGTGGGAGGGCAGGTTTTGACCCACATCAAAGCCAAACGGAAATTCTGATTTCACTTTTTTTTTTTGGCCCAGCTGGGCTGCTCTTTTTTTTTTTTGGCGTTCATTAGAAATGTCTGGGCCAGACGGGGGCACGGGGAAGGCAGAGAGCTCTCTGTAGATTGTGTTGTTTCCCCCTGGGAGCCGAGTTAGCCGAAAGCACAGGCGTGTAGCGGTGGTGTGAAATCCATGCTCTCGGAGCCCGGAGAGGTTTTTCTGCAGCTCTCTGTCGGGCTGAGAGCTTGAGAAAACGCCAGCTCGGCCCCGGGTAGCGAAACTCTCTGAGCGCCGAGAATAGAGGTCTGATGAGGCTGCAAGTTCAAGGCTTAAGTCTTTGAGGTGAGCCGTTAATATGAGTGAGGATTTTGACATCAAATCTGACAGAAACCACTTTCCAGCCCGCTGCGTATTGAGCTGAGCTGCGCAGGTGCTAATCCTGCCTTGATTACTCAGCTCCCTGAGCTCCTGGGGCCCCCCAGGGAGTCCACATTTTGATTGGTTTAATCAGTCAGTATTGACCACCCGCACCCCCGAACCCAGAGTTATGCATGTAGCCCCCAAGTGGACTAATTGAACTCCTCACCGAGGAGGCAAAAACAGCCTCTCTATCAATAATGGAGCGTACTTGTCATCGAGCAAGGTGTCGGGGGCCAGTTTCATTACCAAGGCTGGAGAAATATGAGACTGAACTTCTCCTGAGCCAGCAGCACCCGGTCAGTGTCTATAGATCCCTTCCTGTTCAATATTTTATTTTCTCCCAGAGATCCGGGTTCCAGAGCTCGCCTCGTTAAACTGACCCAGCAGTTATTTGTATATTTGTTTACCTGCGGCATCGGTGTTAATTAAGGAGCAACAGCTGTCGGCCTTTCATATGATATCATTAAAGGGATTACTTGTTGACAATGAGAGCTGTTGAGAGGGGTTCCTGTCTTCCATTTTGTTTCCCAGATCCTGTTTAGAAATTCTACGATGCCATAAATAGTTGGTACACGAAGCTAAGATGCAGGTACCTAAATCACTGCTCACTGCTGCAACACTACGTTCCTCTTTCCCCTAAAGCTGATGGATGTGAACTGCTGTCATCGGGAAGTTTTATTTTTTTCTCGTTTCAGTAGCTCACGTGACATCGCCCAGAGTCCTGCTACGCAGGCAGGTGATGGAAATATTGCCCCCTTTTGCGTTTGTCACGGGCAGTTTACTTTACAGCTTACAGATGTTTTATAAGCCCATGAGGCGTTATTTACTCCTGTTAAATACCCCCAGAGCGTTCACAAAGTCCTCTTTTCAATTGGTCGCCTGGCCCTGCACACCATGTGCTGAAATCCAGTCCGTATTTCCCACCTACAAAAAAGCAGGAGGCTGACTTTATTTGTCTTGGCTTGTGAATCAAAGAAAAGGGGGCAATATACAGTGGCAGTCCATTAACTCCTCGCTGTAGTGTATGGTGTTTATTAGCAGTGTAATGTCATAAGAGAATTGATGTGCTGTGCATGACCAGATGGCCATCGGCCTCTGCTTTCTACACACTTCATTTACTTCGGAGAGGAGCAATCATATTTGCACAGTGCGCGTCAGTGGCTGGCCCTGTAGTCTTGGGCCTGCCTTTTCATTCATGATATAAAACATCAGCAGCAGTCCTGTCAGTGGGGAGAGATTGCGTGCCGTGTAAACAAGCACTTCTGGACTCTCAAATGCAGCAGTAAAATCAGAGAGCTGAATGAAACTTACACTTTAATGAGAAATCTCTGTTCTCGTTCTAGTGGAAATGGTGCACTGTTACACTTAAAATGGTTTAATGAAGCAGCTTTGGACAATTTATTATGAACAGTAGCAGGAGTAATCATAATCAGTAAAACTGAGGACTGTCTGATTATGTAGAAATAAAGTACCAAGTTACCTGCGGCTTCTCAGCGGGCTCGCTTTAACAATTGAAGGTAACCAAGCGGTGGTTAAACAAAAGAATGATTCATCACTGTGCCTGCTGGAAATAATCCTTCATTGCTCTGGGAGAAATGTCAGTAGAAGAGACTGCAGTGCCTTTGGCTGTTTATCAGCACCAGTTTAATTCCCTTTTCTGTAATTTGTAATCTCGTCCAGATTGGATTCTCTCCTTTCTTGTTCTTTTTTAAAGCCTGTTTTTCACAACTGTCATCAAGGTAATCCGGCTCTTAACAGCTTTTTTTTCGCCTCTAATACCCCGCTCACAGTATGTAAATAGCGCGTGATCAGCATGGACTGACACCACATGACCAGCATTCTCATCTGTCTCTGCCATGTATTGACGATGGTTGGGTGGCATGTAATTTAGATAATGGGGAGAGGCAGTCCGCACAGCATCCGCTGGCTTCTGAGCTTCTCCTGACGCACCGTCCCCTGGCCGATGGTTGTCGTGCAGGCAGTTGAAGATCAAAGGCAGTGCTTGTTTTGTGTTGACTTCAACATATACAGTGTGCACTACGACTTGGGGTGAGGTAAGGGGGATAAGGGATTCTGTACGAACTGTATTTCCACGTTGTCTTCTCATTGACAAAAAATACCCAAGGAAATTCAATATTTTGCATGAAACTCCCGAGCAGCAGAGGAGGGACGTTGTGCTCGTGCCAGGACGGTGACGCTGGCAGAGCGGCACAATGGAGAGAGAGGGGCAGGGAGGGAGGGAAGGACAGGTGGAGAAAGAGATGCACATTCCGGTCCAGATGTCCAGGCACTGCAGGGAGAGGGAAGAGGGAGGAAGGTGTGAGTGAGGAGATGAGGGCGAGGCTGAATGACAGAGAAGAGACACAAGCTGGAGCCAATAGGAGAGAAAGCTGCTGCGCCTTCTGCTACAGTGCAAGACGTACTCAGGGAGGAGACAAACATTCTGCCCCAAAATACGAAGTCAGGTAAATTCCCACACCCGCCAGAATCAGAACAGCTGTCAATCCTACAAGAGGAGGGGCGAGGAAACTCCATTGAGCTGCAGCCTGGCATGTGATGTCCTGGCACAGCCTGAGGAACAGAGTGTGTTCTCAAATAATGTGATGTCACCGTCCCGGGTATTTGTAAATCTTTGCTAATCGTGACGGCTATGGCAGCCCATGTTGTGCCAGTAAAGCTCTCCTGGGAGAGTGGAGAAGTGTGGGAGCTGGGGAGGGAGTGGAAGCCGCTTTCTCCCCTGAGACCGGGCCGCGTTTGGAACCTGCAGCAGGAGGGATGAGGAAAGGCCAGTGTGGGAGAGGCGGGAGGGGGGGAGCTGGCAGCTGATTGGCTGAAGACGGAGGTGGGAACAGCCTGCTGACCGGATAGGAAAAATACACCCACCAGACCCTGTTCTGGAGAATTCCGGGGGTTTTTTCTTAGCTTATTTTGCTTATTTTATGTTTTGTGGCTAGCCATGACCAAGTACAACATGCATCTTTAATATTGCAGCCAAAATGAGTGATTTATCTGCATCTTGTTATCATCTGTCCTGCAACTCCTGAAGGTTATGGTCTACAGAAGGCGCAACAGGGGTGAGACCAATTGGAGCTTAATTCCGTTATGGCTGTTTCTGAAGGCCGTGGTAGTATAAAAAAGAGAAATCCGTCCGTCACCTCCGAGTGAGGTGGTGGAGAGAGAACCACCAGTGTGCTGTCAGGAATCAGAGTGTGTGACCACCCCTCCCACACCCCAGAGACGAGCCTTCAGAACCCCGACACTGACAGCTGTCTGACAGCTCTGCCTGAAGCATGCCTGGCCCCTGGCGCTTGCAATATAGACACTTTACAGACCTGGTTTTCCGGGGGGCCCCTTTGAATTGAATTTGACAAAAGATCCAGCAGGATGTGAAAATGAAAGCAAAATTGAACATCGCTTTTTTTCAGCTCTTGTTGCAGGCACAGGACAGACAGTCATGACTGAAACAGAGATTTTCTGTAGGCACTTTCTGCTGCTATGGTTGGCTGTGTGCTCAGTGTTAGCACGCTGTGCAGCACAAATCAGTGCTGTATGCTATAGTGTGGTGTTGTGTACTATATTATAGTATTGTGCAGTATGCTATAGTATGCTGTGGTGTATTATATTAGTACTATGCTGTAGTAATGCACTATAGTACAGTGCAGTACAGTATAGTACAGTGCTGTGTTGAACAGTGTAATACTGTAATATGATGTGAACAATACATGTGTACTATTATAAGGTATAGTGCACACTTTTATACTGCGTAGTTAAGTAGTTATGTAGCAATGACCTGTGCACTACAGTATGGTACAGTACTGTGCAGTACAGGTCTGTTCAGTACAGCTGAGTGCACTATAAAGTGGAACAGTCTGAATAACTTAGAGGGTCTTTCAGTCTCCTAGGGTGTGCTTTTCAAAGCACAGATCACAGACTCACCCACCTGTCACCTTAGTTACTATCAGTAATAACATTTCTGCTGTTTTATATCAATATACTGATACTGAAGCTATCTTATACTTACTTTCTTGCTTCTTTCTTTTTAATTTTCAGTGTGATTCTTGCCGTCTTAGTATCTTGTGATTCATTGAGAAATAGAAAATATTAAACTGCTAGACAAAGAATATAACAGCCCTGACAGGGCAGCATTATGAACTGTGCCAATATGCAGACATTAACAGAGCTCTTGAGTATTGATGAGTTTAGTAAATGTTGTGAAACACTGTTCAGCATTTAGATAAACACATTTCCTCTCAGATCCTAGTGACAGCAGTGAAATTGATTGCAAAGTCCATCCTGGTCAATTCACTATCTGCTGCACAGCATCAATAGTGTTCCCATAGAGCAAGGGTTTATACACTCAAAATGAGCATTTATGCAGATGGAGTGTGTTTTTGTTGTTGTCTTCTCTAAGTGATCATCTGATGTAACTGTGACAAATTTGGGTCAGTTACAGTAACATAACCATTCATAACCATTTGAGTCTGACCACTGAGTGCAGTTTAGCGTTGCTCATTTCTAGCCAGATAAAAACTCATCTTTAGGGGAGAGATCACACAAAAAATCTTGTCTCCTTTTATCAATTTCAATCAACAAATGGGTAATTTCCTCCCCCTCCTTCTCTCAGCACCTGCAGAGTTTGTGCAGTCACCCCAATCCATCTCTCGGCCCATTGGCACCACTGCAATCTTCACCTGTCTGGCACAGGGCGAACCCATGCCACAGCTCACCTGGCTGAAGAACGGACAGATCTTGGAGCCTGGTGGCCATGTGAAGCTGAGGAATAACAACAGGTGAGTCATAAGAGCCAAACACATTCACGCCATTTTTACACTTGACGTTGGCACTGAAAGGAGTCTTGGTCAAGGGACTGATCCAGGGCGCTGTCCCTTCCATGTGGAGTGGAAGGTAAGGTGTGCAGGTAACAAGGAACAGTGTGTAAGATCCAGTTTCTAAACTGGGGAAGGGGGATTTGCCTCTCCTTTCCACAACTTAGATATGGTTTCTAAGTGTCACTGTGATTGGCCACAGAGGAGAAGAAGGGAAAGAGTGTACAGCGTGCAGGTTACATCCTGAGAGCCTGGATGAGAGATGAGAGGAAAGGGCCTAAGCTGAAACCAATAACTGGCCAATTACAAGGGGCTTTCATGGGCTGTGTGTAGTGAGGAGAGAACAGGCTGATGTTCTCAGGAGGAGATTGCAGGTTACATGAAAGAGGATGAAGTAGCTGCTCTGAGAGACTATAAGGAGGGAGAGGATGGGAGATGAGCCTTAAGGGCTCAGGTTACAATCTGAAGGGCTTTCTGGGAGGTAGACAAGGGGTCTAGCTAAGCACAGGGGGTTTGGTACACAATAAAGATCCTCAAGAGAGAGCTTTGTTTCTGCAGTGAACCAATAGCCTACTGCAGGAAAGTTTTTCACTAAAGAGCAGAAAATTGCCCAGAAATCAATGTTTCCAATCTGTTTTTCCTCTTTATAAAGCATTAAGGACTATTGGATTTAGCCCTTCGTGACCATTGATAGGTGCTGCTATTATTTTTAATTAGGCAACTGAAGTTATCATGAGGATAAGATGGAAGTTACTTTTTGAAAGTGCTTCTCAATATTTTAAAGAGCAATAGGTATTAAAAGGTCTCCCAGGTTTTTCGTCTAAACATTTCAGCACTGAAGGCAAAGCCTGGGTGTTAAATCCGGTTCAAATCTGGATGCTTCTGCTCTTGCAGCACTTAAATTTGAACGACTGGAGTTGACACCCTTTTTTATATTACAGAAGGTGTACAATCATATATATCCCCTCTGAACATGCTTATATACACTGAACAGAAAAGCACAGGCTGGAAAGCAAGGATTCTCTCTCAGAGCAATGGTGTGCATTTAGACAACTGTACTAGGTTCGCCAGACAAGCAGAGCTGAGGCTGTCTTTACTTTTATGAGTTGATAATGATTTTTTGAAAAAAAAAATCAATGTAACTCAAGGAAAGGAAGCAAGTACTTTGCAGATCTTAACGAGAAATGTAATGCCTCCAAAATCTGAAGCTAGCCTTGTATAGATCTAGAAAGCATGCAGAGGGGTTCAGAGGCCATAATTGGTTCCTGGGGTAATTTTTCTCCCGTGTTTCTGTCCCTCTTCTAGCTATAGCTGTAACGACCTGTCCAACTAAAAACCTGCTTTGCTGAAGCACAGGCTGGTCCAGTTCTCCTGTATTGATTGAGCAGCAGGGCCCCAAGGGGTGTGTTAAACTGATGGCTGTTTCTCACTCAGAGAAGAGAGGAGGCAGGCCAAGGCACGGTGCAGGCCCCAGTGATGTCACCTTGACCCTTGACCTCTATTCATACATCACCCTTCCCTTAATAGGATTGACTGGCTGCAAGTCCGTGGCTTTGCTGCGCCTGCAGCATCGTTAACTAATTGGCACTTAAACATAGGAAGGGGAATGAGAAAAGGGCAATTTGCTTAATAGCAATTGATATACTGTACATTGTATATTTATTATTGAATTACATGCACTGTACTGTATATAATAATAAACCAGGTTTGAAAAATGCATTCAATTCAACTCGCTCCTTTCCTGAGGACATTACAAATACACATCTATACAGTATATATCTTTTGCAGTCTGAAATAAAGGAATAAAATGTTTTTTATCGATCCGAACAACCAATATTCTGCAAACACCAAAATAACTAGCTCAGCAAAATCTGGCCTGTGACGCGGACTGCGCTGGGTGAAGGTTTGGGATTTTTTCCACGTTGTAGAGCGATCCCCTGAGGGCGTCCTCGGCTGTGTGAGGGGCCGACACGCGGCCCACGCAGAAGTGCAGACGCAGAGCCCTGCGTGTGTCCTTCCCCTGCCTCTCCAGCTCCAACCCATCCTGCACTCACAGCCTCCTGTGGTATTGACCTTCTGGGGAGGTTCATGAGCTGGAAGGCCAGTGTATTGATTAGGCTTGCAGGAGCGCCTAGGATCTGCCTTTAAGGACAGACACTGCAATGATAGATGCTGTTGGTGGCTTTACAAAACAAAAGGCAGATTCGAGAGAGCCGACAGTATTGCTAGAGTGATTGCTAGGGAGATGGCAATATTGTTTCATTTCCCTGACAAATGTTTTTTTTTTAAGTTGCTTATATTGATGTATTTCTCCTCTGTTTTATTGGTGCATTATTATATTTACATTGCAGGCTAAATTGGTTTTGTTCCTAAGATGTTCGTTACTTCGCAGAGAATAAAAGACTGTTTCATTTGCGGATCCTTGGTGTTCGATGTAATCGGCACACTTGGGGGAATATTAGGAACTAATGAATGACAAGTGACCTGAATAAGGAAGCGTGCATTTTTTAAACTCCCTTATATGCATAAAAGTTTCATTAATATGGCAGCACGTTATAGCAAGTGCTTTTTGCTTTTAGAATGTTTATTCAAGCCCGTCAGTGTCAATGAGAACATTTGAAACAGCCGTCCATAGCTCAGAGCTTAATAATGTTGAATGTTTATGTTCTGCAGAAGAAAGCAAACAGGAAACAAAGCAGTTTTTCAGATTTTAAGGTCCTGCCACTTATTTAGAAAGTGGATGTGCACGATTCCCTAATCTGGTGGAAAATTGCTCACACTTAAACTACTGTACAGGAAAATGTACAGCACATCAGGATTCACAGCTGACATGTGCTAGATTTCTGTAGACAGCTTTCCCCTGATAAGAATGCAGAGGGTGTAGGCAGAGGTTTAATGGGCAACACTTGAAACACTCTCAGCCATTGTAGGGGATTTTCCATCTGTAAAAAAAAAACTGTTATTAATTTCATTAAATGTCCCTTTGGCTGGGGGGAGAAAGCTTCTTTTTAGTGCGCGGTGATATCATTCAGGTCCGGTGAGCTCCTTGTTTGCGCTGTTGAATTGCTGGAGAGCTTTTTTTTTTCTTGTCAAGACTAACCCTTTCGGAGGTCCAAACAAATGCTGGGACGAGGGGCGCTGGCTTTGACCCTTGACCCTTCCGCAATCAGTCATCTTGATCGCCTCGTGAGAGCCGGGAGACAGCTTCTCAATGTGCCCCCTCTTCAAAGACTCTGCCTCTCCATCCCCTCCCCTCACTGCCCCTTTCTTCTGCAGACCAGCTTGGTGAGAAACTGACACGGCCCCGACTGCCTTTCATTACTGGCTGTTAGTGCATTCTGCTGCAAACTGCTGATTGGCAGTTTCACAAACATCGCCGGCACCTAACAAAACAGCCCTTGCCTGAGCTATCTGTGAAGTGGTTTTGAACTGATGAGTAAATGACGGTATCAATCTGCTGTCAGTACAAAGGAAATCCACAAGAGCAGATGGTCTAATCAGGCTCATTTTGGGGACTACAAAGGATTTTTTTTGTCCTGTGTTTGTGTCTGCTTATGTGATTCCCAACTATTTATGTCCTGGTTAAGCATATTTTAATTATCTGAGCAGGGCTTTTAAAAAAAAAAAATCTCCCCCCTTGTGTGAACAGCAGCAGTCAGACGTGTTCAGATCCATTGGTGCAGATGCTGCATTATTCAGTTTTCACTTGTGAAATTTTCCACTTCGCATTCGGTGGCAGAGTTGGCGTTTTGCATACGATTTTCTCAGCATACGAGAAATAAAAGGATGGATTTGAGAAAATTCACTTACAGGTTTTCCAGCAATACACTTTTATCTCTGTATTGATTGCATGCATGCTGGAAACAAGGGCTGTGTTTCCACCTGAGTGTTATTTAACCAGAGAGTTTGCTGTCCTGTACTGCAAAGTGATACTGTTGATTGTCTACAGTGCCTTGTAAGTTTTATACTACAAAATGTATAAAACAGGATTTTAAAATAATGTTCTGAGTAACAGCTTTAGCTTTGTACACTTCTGTTGAAAATTATCCTCTGTAGTGCTGTGCTGATAGTGAAATATTAGTTACTCATTGTGCATATCAGAGGTACATACTGTACACAGTCGTAAGCCCCCTGCAGATTCTCTCACACAGCATGCATCTGCTGACTTTGATGTTGTGGAGTTCAGAAAACACATGGATAGCTTAGACACATTCTTACTGCTTTCACAGCTTTCAGGCAGATCTTCGACTCACATCTATTAACTGCTTTTATGAGGCATTTATAATGATAGTCTGCCTAAACTGCCAATGCAATAAAAAAGATAACATAAACAGCACGTTGACTGAGTTTATGTTCTGTACTGGTCTCTGATAGGTCTGAATAACTTAAAGAAGATGTTAGACATCACTTTAATTGTGGAAAGGAAAACATTTTTACTTTCTTTAGACAGCAGTTGGGATTTTTTTTCCCTAAAGTCTTTGCATGCTAACTGGAAATGCTCAGTTTAGTTTTGTTTCGTGTTGCGTGTCAATGTAATTTGGTGTTCAGTTTAATCTTGTGCAGGCGTGCGTTTGGTATGACTTTTTCTTTGCTCCTCTCTGTGTGAATGTGGGTCTCTTCCAATGCCCTGTCCTGCTGCTTCACATTGTGCTGCTTTCCCAGTGTGTGTGGCACCCTGGGGTGCCCAGGGCTGCAGGATGCGGAGGACGTGGTGGGAGGATGGTTCTCGGGTGTGTGGGCGAAGCGGGGAGCAGGAGGGCGATGGGGACAGCGGCGCACAAGCAGGAGAGGGAGAGAAGAAAGAAGAAACGAGCTGGACAGAGTGGAGGGGCTGGAAGGGGACGGAATGTTGACTGTGGGTGTGGAATTTCACAAGCCATGAATCAAACCATTTGCACCGTTGAACTTGGATAGACACGCTAAAGTGGCACTGGTGCCCCGGTGAAATATGCAGTGCCTTTGAAATATCCCAGGATACCTAGAGCTCCAGCCTCATTCTTAATGCTCCCAGGGGGCCTGCAGGGCTGTGACTGGCGTCTGGTCAACCAGCCTGGCGAGCAACACTTCATTCATCCACCACATCAGAGCCTCTTGCTGGGCAAGATGACTGGGACAGGGAGGGGGGGGGCTGCAGGCACCTCCAGGTCAAAGGTCATATTTGCCTTGGGATGCAGTCACAGGCTGGTGTAAAACGAGGGGCTGAACAAAGACTTTTTAATCCTGGAGTCCTAGCTGGACTAGACAGTGATTCTGTGAAAGTGATTCTGCCCTGACTTGAGTGGGGTTCATCCCAGATGGTTCCTCCTCAAAGGTTTTTGTTTGAACCCGATAAGTAACTTCAGTATGAAACCCCTTGCATTCTAAACAAAAAAGCTGTAAGGTTTTATTTAGTTGTAAAGTCTCAAAAAGCAAACATAGCAATAGTGAAAATGAAAAGAGATAAACTCTATAGTAGTGTCCATGGTCAAACGATTGCGTGTAAAACATGCAAAAGCTTTTACGTATTATAAGGTGTTGCATCTAATCCATCTGTTTTTATATAGTTAAGATGGCTTGGAGTACATGATCAATTTTGCATTGCAGTTTTGGTATTTTATTGCATGGTGAATAAGTCAAGGCTTTTGTATCCTAGAATATACTGGGGTGCCAGTGCAAGAGAGACAGGGATAAGCCCTGGAACATAAAACACAGCTCCTGGCTGAAAACCAGGCCAATTTATCTTCCACACAGAGACCCCAGCTGCTTTGCAGCACCAGTGTGGATTGGAAAATGGAATGTTTTGAGTAGGACTGGAACGTGTCCTAATAAAATCGCAGAGGATTCGAGAGGATTGCCTCTTGAGCTGCCTGAGGTGTAAATAGAGCTTCCTAATTCCTGTTAGCACCTCTCCCAGGCTGGTCCGTCCTGACCCAGTGCCACAGGGCTTACAGGGATCAGCACAGTCCAACAGAGCCGCCTGCTCTCTGCATGTCAGGAGCCCTTCCTCCCCACCACCCACTCACCCACAGCAGTCACCCCTGTGATGCCTCTTTTCAGCAATGCTCAGAAAAGGCTGTTTTTTTTTGCCTTGGAGATTGGAGTAATTATTTTTTTTAAATTGTCGCCAGGCAGTGTTTTTTTACCTCCCAGTAACTGACAGCCAGAGTCACGTGGGCTGGGTTTTCACCTCTGGGGCCTTTGTCTCATCACCGCGCACAGCACCAAGTGTATCTAAATCACATTTTAAAAGCACTACACCAGGTTAAGGTTTCTTAATAAAAAAGATTCTCTATGTCGAACATTATACCTGCATGTATTATACGTTACTGGGAGGTTCTTACTACACAGTGCATGTGTTTAAGTATGCACATATCCAAAATCAAAGTTTCCAATATGAACTGGCAGTGTATTATGCAAATCATATTGGAGAGAAATAGAAACATTTCAAACAAAAGCAAATCTTAGGTTTTTGTCTTCCAAGGTTTAAGGACAACTGTGAACTGGATGATTCCTTACATTTTATAAAATGCACTGCAGGATCACTGGGGAGCCAGTTTGTGTTAAGCAACAGTATATTTTGTTTTTCTGTTTTTGCTCCGACACATTTTCTCTGCCCCTGCAGTTTGCACTGGTGGTCTGGAAAATAAGAACTTTGTTACCAAATAAAGAGCGCGTTTGAAACACAGAGCGGAACCCCTGTATTCAGCCGGCAGGGTGCTGCTCAGCTGTGGTCATGCAGAGGAAAGCCTGATCTTCTCTCATTCTCTTTTTCTCTCCGAGATTGATCCCATAGAAATGGGTTTGAATAGAGGTGACTGGTGCCACTCAGCTCATCTGTATTGAGCCCTGCTTCGCTGAATGGGAGAACTCGGAAGGGAAAGAAAGCATATTTAACTTTGTGTTTCAGCACCGTTTGAAAAATGCCTTCGAGACCTAAAGGAAGTTCTGAGAAGCAGAAGAAGAAAGCTGGGATAAGGATTTTTTTAATGTAGATATTGATCCTAGACGGATCACCCAAGGGATCCCAATACTAAGAAGAAAGTGTGATAGAAAAGCACAGTATAATAATAATAATAACAACAACAACAATAATAATAAAATGTGGTTGCAAAAGACACAATACAATAAATGCACAGTACTTTAAACATGAAAAACTAAAGCGAACCTATTTTTTTTGTTTATGACCCCTTTTGATTCAATAAAATGAAAGTGCTCCTTGCAGCAAAAGCTGTTCAGAAAAATAATAAAAATAATGGATTCCAATCATCTGCAGTTGAAATTAAAATGGGCTGCAGGCTGATTTACACATTCTAACTCTCAAGTGATTTGTTTAACTGTTAAATGTTTTATTTTTTTTAGCCCAAGGATTAGAGGAGCAAAGTATCTCATTATGTATTCAGCTCTAATACTCCCCTAATACTCCTCTTGCAGTTTTCATGGAGGTGGTTGTGGGGGAGTGATGGGCTGGGACTACCTCACTCACTGCCACTGGGCTGGTGCTGGGTCTCTGGTCAAGGCTGCTGGCTCAGCCAGATGCCCAGAGGAAGTTCGTTTTAAACCAAGATTAGGACAGTCTTTGCTGTCCAGAGTCTGGGATGAAATCAAAACTTCTGCTCACTTGCTAATAGTACAGTATATATAATAACGCCGGTCATGGTGAGGTCATGTCATTTTTTGTCATTTTGATATGTGATTGATGGGTTAAAGTTTTGAATCAATCTGGATCCTCTGTTTGTTTTCTTTGTTTTGACAGAAACTGCTTTGATGTATACTGGTTATGTTTTATTATTATAATTTGTATTTAGTCATAAGATGTCCTTATTCAGGGTGACTTCAAGAAGATAAATACATACAGAGCCAAGTGCAATAACATAATATTACAATTTGAATACATATAAAAAATTCAATACATTTCAAAATTCCCAATAGTGAGTAAGACAATTATATATATTGATATGGTTTTGTCTGGAATGAGCTAAAAGTACCAGGCAGGGTTCAGATGAGTTGAAGAAAAATTCTTCCAAGTAAGCCGTTAAATAGAGGTGTGATGAAAAAGCCAATGTGAAATAATGAGCAGATTTTCGTGTCTAATTACAAGTCATTTACATTGAAATCCTAAGTGTCCACATATGGGTCTTATTCCTGTGTCTCAAAACTCAGTGCTGACATCTGTGATCAATAAGCTGCTTGCACCCACACAAGCACAAGGTCTGAGCAGCCTCCTGTCTTATGTTGCAGCTGTCCCAGAACTGGCTAAGATGGGCGGTACACGTCAAGAACCAGGGCAGGGCAGTGCATTGTGGGATGATGCTGTACTCACGGCTTCCTTTTCGTTTTCACTCTGTGAGCATCCTCCTCTTCCTCGTTCGCAGCACCCTGACGATCTACGGGATCAGCCAGGAGGACGAGGCCATTTACCAGTGCATTGCGGAGAACAGCGCGGGCTCCACGCAGGCCAGCGCGCGCCTCACTGTGCTCTGGGCCGATGGGCTCCCCAGCTCCCCCCACAGCGTCCGTGCCACCACTGTCTCCCCCACTGCCATCCAGGTGTCCTGGAAAGAGCCTGTCCAGAACACGCACGACATCATAGGATATGTGCTGCACATCCGCAAGACTGGAGGTAAAATGGCTGCTGGAAAAAACAGAGAAAGAAACAGCAGTGCAACAAGCATTTTCATCTTCATCATCATCTTCTTCTTCACTGCCTAAAAGAATATTGTAATTGTGTTGCGTAATAGCAGTGTTAGGTTACAGTAAGGCCTTCACTGAGTTTACAGCTGGAATAGGACTCCCGGTCCTTGTTTTTACCACACAGACGAGAAACCAGCAAAGACGTTTCGTGAGATAGGATATAAGACAGGCTACAAAGGAAAATATATAATTGCATTTTACAATTAAATTAAGGTAAATTTTAACATAAGCATTGAGAATCATTAGAAATTGTTTCAATGTTCAGTTCGTGCTGTATGTTGTTGCTAAGCAGCGAAGACAAAACCTCCAAATCAAGTGCAGGTTGAAATCCAAACACACATTCCTGGTGGGGACTGGTACTGTACATGTATGACTCTCTTTTTCTGCAGCAATCTAAGGATTGAAGGCCAAACTGCTTTGGAAAGCAGGTCTGCATGTTCAAAGGGGTAACAGCAATGTCTTAAAATAAGCGGCATAGCCCTTAGCTCAGGATGCCGGGGTACAACCCAGATTCAGAGTTTTAAACGCAATAATGTCAAGCTAATACAAGCTACTCCAGTGCCTAATTGATCAGCCTCATATGATACTTATTTCTCGTTTGCCTGAGCCAGATGATTAAAGGCTCTTAATTAAATCTGAATTAATCCCATTATCCAGTTTTTTTTCTCCTTTCTAGTGTTTATTTTTGTATTGTTTAGGCCAGCAGAACTTACCCAGGCAGTTCTGTGGCCACAGCGGTTCTTGCAAATGCCTATCAGATGGCCCGTTAAAACCCTCGGAGGCCTCAGAAGAGGAAATACTTTAATTACCAACTAAAGACAGAAACCCAGATAGCACAGGGAGTTTGGTAGATACCAGCACAGCACGCGCTGGTCTGAACTAGGCCTGATGTTCAATTGGGGGGCGAGTGCTAGGTTTTAATTTAACGAGCTTCTACGATGCGGTGTTTGTGCCCCCCTCGTGTCTCTCCCAGACCCCGTGGAGATGGAGTACCAGGAGGCCGTCAGCAAGAACACGCTGCAGCAGGTGGTGGGCGACCTGCAGCCCTCCACCAGCTACACCTTCTACGTGAAGGCCTACACCTCCCGCGGTGCCAGCAAGCCCTCGGAGAGCGCCGTGGAGAGCACGCTGGGCGAAGGTGGGGGCCCGCTCCACAGTCGGGCGGCGTTTGGCTTGCGCCAGCCTCCCGGGTCACATCCCCTCTCGAATCTGGAGCCCTGACTCGGCGAAGGCCAAAGCACTCGCTGCCCAATCTGTTTCAGCTTTGCTTCAGGATATTTCCTTCGTGGGGTTTGTACAGCTCCCTTGAGGGTGGAAAGGAGGAGACGTAAACAGAGCTGGGATCTGCCAGTTGTGATGTGTACCTGGGAGTCCTGCGTTGTTTTCTAATGTATAGAGTAAAGCTACTCATCCAGCTCTTTGAACCCCAGAAAACTGCAGCACTACAGGCAGAGGGTGGCTCCCCAATACCTGAAAATCTGGTGTATAAGAGATCACTTTATAAGCCATATACAGTTTCTTGTATTAGGAATTTATCTTTTCGCATACCACAGCTTGCTCTCCATGAGACACACAGACAGGGAGAAGAGCTCGGGGTCAAAGCGCAGGGTCAGCCATTTATAGGGCGCCCCTGTAGGGTTGAGGGCCTTGCTCAGGGGCTCTATGGAGTAGGATTTCTCTGCCGGCCGCGGGATATGAACCAGCAACTTTCCAGCCACAAGCGCAGATCCTTAGCCACAGAACCACTACACCGCCATGTACAGTATATGACATGGACTATACAGTGCAATACATTTCCCAGGGCTGCGCATCACTGAATGCCCCAATTGATGGGGTATTCACAAGCCATTAAGCCTCATGAACTGATTTGCGTAAAGATTTAGGTTGGGACTTTTGAATATTCAGGGATTTAGTAAGACTTTCCTTTTTTAAGTGCATCCCCGTTTCCAAGATGTATACTGTACTCCTATGTGTAATCCGTCGTAGCAGTATAAAAGACTTAGCCAGTGGGTTGATTTTTTTTCTGCAGGTTTCGGATAATCTCACTTAAATGTAAAAATAATTCAGTTGATCTTCCGTTTACAGGCTGTATTGGCCTTAATACAAGGTTGTCCTTCACCTGTTTCAGCAATTGTAACATGCTAGCAATTTGAGCAATAGAGTATTTGACTTGCTGGCTTAAGGTTCACAAGCCCACAGTTCTCAAGCTTCTTTGCTTCATTTCAGAATGATATATGCTACCAATAAAAACAAATAATTTGCTCTTGTCCTCAGCATTAGGCAGAGGAGTTACTGTTCTCTTCTTTGTTTCAGTTCCAGCCACTCCATCGCTCTTTATTAAAGTTTTAAACAGCACATCGGTTCAGGCCACCTGGGAGCCTTCCATTAAGCTGGGTCTCCACGAGGGCTTCAAGCTGTATTACCGCAAGGTTCATGCTACTCACTTCACTGGGCCGCTGCTGCTGTCCAGGAACGTCACCTCCTACAACATCACGCAGCTTGGTGAGTCCTGCTCCTGTCCTGCGGTGGGGGTGGGCGGGGCTGGAAGGCTCTGTGTGTGAACACTGGGTGCTCAACACTGCTCTGCAAGGGACATCACAGGCTTCTTCTTAGCTGGCCTCGTGTGCAGAGGCTGGATCCTGAGACTCTTCACATATCACTGGCATCATCAGTCCGGCTGAAAAATGCTGCCTAGTGTTTCCCGTTTCTATGCCGCGATGGCCGGGAGACATCATGTGTTGCACATATTGGCTTTTGTTTCTCCCAGCAAGCTAGTGGTGAATCTTGTTAGAGACAGTGCCTCTTCGGTGTAGACACCCTGGGTTGTGCATGCCTGAATGGTGCAAAATTGACATCATGCTATGAGACAGAAGTACCTCCCAGCTGTGTGACTCAGAGCTCTGTTGCTGATTGGTAGACCCCTCAGTGGTGTACGAGGTGAAGCTCCTGGCCTTCAACCATCACGGAGACGGGAATTCCACAGTGCGCTTCGTCTCACTGCGGGAGGCCATTGAGCGATCAGGTGAGATTGGGGGGCAGCTGTGCAAGCAGTGGGTTGTATTCATCAGCAGTTTTTTGCCTGTGCAGTAAATTATTAAAATGCAATGAGATGAGTGGCGTTTGGCTGTCGTTTTTCTTCTCTTTTTTTCTTCTCTTTGGTCGGCAGGAGTGGGTGGTTGGGTATTAGGCTTTAGGTGGACACGTTTTCCGTACTATGTTTCTACTCACGCTGTGCTATGTCCTCCACATCCTCCCCCCAGTGCTGAACACCCCCTGTGACTGCGTGAAAGATGAGCAAAGCAAAACATCAACCCCTGGCATCCTCATAGGAATCCACATTGGAGTCACCTGCATCATCTTCTGTGTCCTGTTCCTCATGTTTGGCTATCGAGGAAGGTAGGCTGCCAGCTGGCTAGCAGCGTTCTTGCATAGAGACACATCTCAAGGGTAGTGGAATAGCAGGACAGGTGTGATCTACTCTTCCCATACAATCTGTCCCGTCTGGACTTTGTCTTTCAAAACAGAACTAATGCGCTCTACTATAATTTCCTAAACAGAAGCAGCTGAATGAAGCTCCTCAGTATTTAAGCTATCTATGCCCCATCATCGCAACACTTTATGTTTACTTAAGTGGGCTATGACTGCTAATTCTGTGAAATCCCTGGCACCTGCATTTCTGCATTGCATACAGATATAAATGGAGCTGTGTGGTCAGTGAAGCTCTGAGCCTTGCAGCCCTTTTTTGACTGATCAAGATTTAAAACAGCCCTATAATGAGAACCTCTCCTGGCTCTGGGCTTTGTCATTCTACAAACAATGAGAAAGGATTTTTTGTTAAAAGAGGGAATTCTTGTGTGAGAGGCTTCCGTGCTGTGCGTCTTCTAAAGGGCCTTTTGTTTAAGATCCTTTCTAGGTGAAATTATTCACATTTCACCTCAGTAGGTGTGATACGAAAACATAGGCTGTGGTACTGCATGAAAGCTGCATGAAAGTTGTTACATTGCATGAAAGCAATGTAAATCCAAAGAGCTTATTTACCAATTCTGAAGTTCTAGACTTGAACAGATTAAATTCGGGCAGTCAGTACATACAGAGACATCATCAGGGTTAAAGATGCAGCCTGTTGTATGCACCCATGCTGAACCCCATGACTGTTCTTGTACAGGGCCTTTGGCCGATTTAGCCTTGTGTGATTAGGCAAAATATAGATCTTAGAAATTCTGATTTTCAGCATATAAGCATTGTTGTTGCAGAACTGCATGTTCAGGAGAACAGTGCTGAACTGAGGTTTCGGCAACTGTGATGAAGGTGCCGTTTCTGGTGCGGTGAGCTGAAGCCCGATCGGAAGGGACCGGGAGGCCGGCAGTAACGCTGTCCACTGTCTCTCCACAGGCTCATGATGTGCAAGAACATGCAGGACCAGCTTGCCACTCCACAGGCAGGCCGCAATCCCAACAGAGGTGGCTCTGGGCTCCTGGTGCTGAACGGCGTCAGCCGGAGAGAGCACGAGGCGGCCTGCAGTGCCGGGAAACTCAACGACACCAACGAGCTGGAGCAGCTGTTCCCGGGACCATCCCTCCGAGGGCAACGGGATAAGGCAGACATGGTGAGAACTGGGGCCCCGAAAGCAGCCAAGTCCCACCACAGGCTAAAGGGATGCTGCTCAGGACAAAAATACGCAACCATTTATTCTGAGTGTGATCCCACAGAGGGTAAGCATGTACTTAAGAAGAGAAGCACTGTATGTACCCTAGCAGACCAATAACAATGGATGAGCTCCTTTGGAGTGGATCAGTTGGCAAATGCACACAGGCTGATTCAGGAGAAAGGCTGCAGAATTCATCATTTGTCAGGCTGTCATAGATATGTCATGTAGGTACTGTGCCATTACCCACGGCAGATAAGCAAACGTAAAGGTCAGAATCTCTCAGTAGTAAAAGGTTACTGTAGCAACGGGCCATGGTTTGCACTGCAGCTGGCAAAGGATTTCAAATGTGAAAAGCTCATTGCTTTAGGACACCAATGTTTATTGTAAAATCCCCCTCACACACACACTGTAAGTGTCGCATTTTTCCAAATAATTCTGACTCCGTGGTAGAAACAATACCCTTCTAAAAGACTATGGACACCAAACCCTGCAGGATGCACTAGGCCAGGGTATTATATGTTGTCAAGGATTGCAGAGTGCCGGGCTTTGTGTACAAAGGCTTCAGGTCTGCTGTGTTCTGTGAAACTGTGTTGTTAACTTTGTCTGTGTTTTTCTGGGCAGACGGACCATGTCCCAGCTACCTCGCACGACGAGACGCAAATTTCCACCTTGCCCCTGGACGAGTTCAGCATGGTGGAAGAGCCGCAGTTTGAAGACTCTCCACCAGGGGGAGATGGCTGCAACAGGCAGAACACAACCCAGGATGAAGGATAAACGCCAAGTCTCACTCTCTGCCTCTTGTAGGATACTTTCTCACAGTGTCTCTTCTTTGACTCATCATTCTCAGGTCAATTTAAGTATGTCATAGTTTTTTTTTTTCATGCGAAGATTGTCGACTTAAAGTACCCTTGAGAAAGCCGTACTCAGACACTCCAGCCTTCTATGTGTTTTGCAATGGACAGTGTATAGTGACAGTGTCACTGGACAAAAGACAAATGACATTTTCTTGTACTTTTTGTCCCTCCGTCCCATCGTCTGCCTGCCGCACACAGAATGAGGGGCTGGATACATCTCTTTAGTGTAAAAAAAACAACTTTGTTCACAAAGGTATTGTATTACAGGCCTGTTGTTTTTATTTTACATTGGCAGTCCTGGACCCACGACTTAGGCCTCCTTGAAATGACAAGTCCTGCCAGCCTCAGCCTACCAATGATTCCACAATCCTGGCCAGGAAAGGGCCTCCTTCCAGGGATCTGACATTCTGTCTCAGGACTCTTTTTTCTAATGTTTTTTTTTTCTTTTTTTTTTGCTCAGTGATATTAGTGGTTTTTGCCTACATGAAGGCTGTTACAGACTTGGCTAAGAAACCCTAGGATACGCAACAGAAACCTACCTCAGCCGGAATGAATGTTGTCAGGGAGGCAGCAGGAATGTGCGTCTTCCCTTTGTGCTCAATGATTTACACAGCACTCGCTCGGTCAGAACAGGTTCAGCACTACCTCAGCCATCGATCCACACATCCGCTATTAAAAAAAAAACAAAAACAAAAAAAAACTTTCCAACGTAAAGCACTTCCAAACACTGAAGGCAATGTTCTACCTCAGATTGTTGTTCTTATTTTTTATATATATATACGTATATAAATATATATGAATCGAATTTCTGTCACAGGATCCTTGCTTCCCTCTACTGGGAATCTTACTCATGGATTTGATGGCGCCTAGTGACACTGTCCGAACAGGACGGTGTTCGAAATTGTTTTTGTGAAGGTTTTTTCAGTGATGTTCCTTATTTTTTCAGGTGCCTATGTTGTGTATAGTTTTTCAGCAGATTTGTTTCTTCTCCACATTGTAAGACTGTTAGAAATGCAGTGCACTCCTACTAATAACGTAAGGATAGTTTTACATCTGTTAACAAGTGTTAGGGGCATTTAGTGGGTCTGTCAAAAATAATTTCTGTTTTGTTGACTGATCCGTCTACATACATTTATACATATGCATTTATGCATATATAATATATACAAAATGTGTGTATATATTTAGTATATACAAAATGCATGTATATAAATACAGTATATACAAAATGCGTGTATATATACAGAATATATGTACAAAATGTGTGTGTATACATACAGAATATGTATAGATTGTGTTTGCTTAACAGCAGTTATGTACAGAGATATCAGATTTAAAGCACAGATTTATTAAATCAGCCAGGGCAATGCAGAGTGTGCATTTTAAAATGGATCTATTTCAAAATGATGGGGTCTGAAATTGTGGACATTTAATTGACAGTGCAAGAACACTTGTATACTATCAGTCAGACTTTGGTATTGCCACTTTGTCATTTTAAGTTGACACCCCAGCCATAAGGAAAGGAGAGAGAAAGCCCCCTAATTGTTTTGTTGGAGAGGAGCTATTAATTAGCAGAGTGTCAGAACCCACTTAGGCTAGTCTCAGGCTGTCAGTCACAAGTCCCTCTAGATATCTAACCCCCTCAGAGAGCCAGCTTAAATAGAGCATTCCGAGTCAGAAATAACATACCCGTGTATTGAAAAAAATCAGAAAGTCAAGGGAGTATTTTTCACTCATCAGTTCCAACCATGAGTTAACAGGGACTGGAGTTCTCAGCTGAGCTGGATTCTGGAATGAACAAGTCCCTCCTGTCAAAGTTAAACTCAGATTTGTTTGAGACTGAGGTGTGGAGGCTATTTAACCATGAGTTCATGATCTGCAGTCTTGATACAGTCTTAGGATACGGTGAATAGTGTTATCTCTGTAGCTTCGCTTTTTAAGCCTTAGAATAAGCGATACATCCAGCCTGGAACTGGTTTCTGATTACCTACCTCGTCACAACAGCCAGGTGGTCCCGGTGTGATCTTACGACAACAATAGACTGGGAAAGAAATATCAGGGGCATTCACTGATGGAAATGCATTAAATGGTAAATATTTCTGTTTTGTAAACATCTTCTGTGTTTCTCAGTGGATTTGTCACAATCTCTCTATTGTTTTGCATAACTACATTTGTCGTGGATGATTCCTTTCTGCCTTTACGTTGTGTGCTGCACAGCAGCAGTAGCATGAAAAGGCAACGGATCATAAGCCTTTACTGCCGAATATGGGATTATATATTCTGTATATATATATGCCATCTGAACAAAGAGCTCATTCTCCTTTCATAGGTTATTCATCCAGTCCATCAAAGGTTATTATAAATAATGAACAAAATTAATGTAGTTCTCCTTCAACTGTATTAAGTGTGTGTGAGGGGACTTTTTAAAAGCCAAATGCATTCAATTTCTGTGTTTTTGTTTTAAAAAAGCCCCAGGGATATCATTCCTGAGAGTGTACAGTAATGACCTGTCCAGTAGCACACATTGCAGACTGCCCATGCTCTAAGCATGATTGAACAGAATACTGTAGATACATTGCCCGCTACCAATACTGGTGCAGAATATCAAATGTTCTCTGAAATTTAGGGAAGTAACATCCAATTATGGATCGAACTGTACTTTTTAAGTATATTTCAACGTAATGACATGGATTTGAGGGAAATGTGGTGATGTGTACTGTAAAACTTGTTACTGTTCTTGGATTTCCATGTGAAGTAACTACTGTAGAGGGACAATAAACATTCCTGAAAGACTGAGCTCATGCTTTGACTCCTCAGAGGGATGTTGAAGCAGTTCTATGGTGTGAGCCATTGTTTATTGCTCATTAATATTTTTTTTTTACGTTTCAAGTGAATTATTGCAAAAGTCACCTACAGTAATTTTTGTGTCTGTGTGTGTTTCTTGGTCGTTCAAAGTAATTTCCTTTCCACATGTTTCAATATGTTATACCTTTATATTTGTCAGTATGTAATATTCATAATAGGAAACCTAGCAAAAGAACGATGTCTGCGATAAAGGTAAAATACTTGTATGTTTATAATACTGCTACCAATGTGATTTTTTAGTGTTTGTAGTATTTGTCAAGTATTTTTGCCCTCATACTGATTGGGATCTCTCCAGGGAAACAGGTCGTCCTATTCATTTTACCAACCAGACAAGCATGAGGTTTTCTAGTCTACTGGTACAACTCTCTTATGTGGCCCCAACTTTGCAGCACAATGTATACTGAAAACATTTTTCACATGTGGTGCTTTAGGTTTCCAAATCAATGGTTCTTAGACTCCCCGATTTAAACACTGGAATGGCAGGAGTGTTCTTTAAAACTGCAGAGAGAAATAGCTTATGGTTCTGCTTTTTTACCTCTTTCTCTAAAAAAGTCCAGTGATTTTGTTATGTCTCAGCCGAAGAAGAGTTTCCCTGTCATCTTCATGGTCATGGAAACTGAAAACCATTTCTTAATTTCTTTTTTATCCGTCTTTTTTCCCTGCAGAGATCCCTGTCCACCGAGTTTGGTTCTTTTTATCAAAGAGAGTGCCCGTGATGGCTGTCTCCTCAGGGAACATATCCTCATGTTGCAGTAGCTCATAGTGCGATAATAACAGGGTATTTTTCTATTAGTGTCAAGATATTTATTACGTTGTTCCCACTGTTCTTCACATCCTCTCAGAGCCAGTTTTGTTTTGGAGGTGGGGGGGGGTGTTGTGCCAGCTAAACAAATGTTAAGATAAACTGTGCCAATTCAAAACGCAGCAGTAAGATGCTGCCTTGCTAAATCATAGAAAAAAAAAGATTGCATTTGCATTTCTGTAAGATTTCAGAGCCTTTGCCATTGGTAAAAGGAATATCTCTCTCTCTGCTGACAATGCTGCCTCTGTCAGGGTTACCCTAGTGTCCCAGTTGCCCTAGAGAGAGACAGAGGCAAACTATTAACATGTAGCTAAGCTGCAAATACTGCTATGGCAACAGCAGGGTATTTAAAAGATTGTAGTAAGAAGATCAAACTTTGAATCTGAAAAACAAACAGTTTGATGCACCAATGTGTAGCCAATTCAGCTTTTAAACCCTTTAAAAAAGGGATTAAAATTCTGTGACTTTTTTTTCTTTCCCTTTCCTTCCCTGAAACAAGACTAAAATTCTTATGAATATGTGGTGTTAAACATTTCATTGTGCAGCAATTTAGCTGTTGGGAGAATAAGAGCCTCCTACTGTTTGCAGCAGAGACTCACCACCCCCCCCACCTCCTCCCCTGCTCCTTTTGTGCAGCTGATCATTGTCAAAAGAGTTTAAAAGAGTTTGCTTCCTTGTTCTGAATGCTCAGGCCAGCCAGCCGGAGGCACAGCACCAGCAGAAAGAAACAGTTCCATTGGTATAATTGAATGAGTAATGTCCATGTGAAATATTTAGTCAACCCAGACCATGAGCATTCTGCCACTGTGGTTCATGCTTAGTGTGCATTGCCTGCAGTGACCTGTGATGCCAAACAAAATCTGGAAATCTGGTATTGCCTTTGTCTCACACAGGCTCCACCTGTGAGTTGAATCTTAAATATGATAAGACTCCTACTGCTTACAACTGACCCGTCCTTAGGTTTTAAAGAAGGCCATAGGTCCAAGTGTTTTAATGTGGCCGAGATCAGGACCAGAATCTTGTAAGCACCATTCCAGAGCTACACCCTCAGAGCGCAGAGGAACAGGAACTCGTTGTTTTCGGCAGCTGTTATTCTTCAGTGGAGAGTCGCATACGATACACATTCTGCATTAATTGCAAGTCCATTGTTGAATGTGTTTTTTTTTCTCCACTGTCAGTTATTGTTTTTAACAAGGCTCAAAGATTCGTGACCAGCGTCTAATTTTAGAAAAAAAAACAGGCCTCTTATATTCTCTGATAGGGATCTTTTTGTGAGTGTGAGCAAGAAAGCAATTTACTTGGTGTGACAATTCAGCACCAGCTCCCTCCGAGGAGACCAGGTGCAGAAGTCAATCCTTTGCGCTGTGAGGACTGTCCAGCTGGATGTAAAAGGTTCTGGTGTGTCACCCTGGGCAGCACACAGACCAGCTAGTGACATACTGAAAGACCCTGTTGACCCGGCAGCACCACTCTTTTTTGAAATCATCCTTGCTTTTGAAACCACTGTCGTGTTCTAGAAGACGTTATCATGTAGTGGCTCCTTGAAAAGTATCTTCTTTTTTTCTCTGTGTACATACTGTAGAAACAAAAGAAAGGAAAAAAGCTGAAAACTAACCTGTGCATAAGACCCAAGCGCTGCTTGTGCTACGACGCCAGAGTTCCCAGTTGTCCGGGACTCGTAATAAGCGCCTCTTTTTTTCAGACGTCACTGTCACATTAATAAAAACATTGACATCAGAACGGTTTTGCAACGCTGAAACCCATTTTAAATCAAGTACCAACATCATGTTGCACTGCATTTCCTTGAATTGGGACAAATCTCAAAGCAATGATCTCGTTGTGGGTACTGCAGCCTAAGACTCAGCCCTGGCACCAGGACCTATGTAGGAATCACTTGGCACCACGGATCACCCAGCATGCTTTGCTCAAGCACTACAGACACACAAGTGTGCTTCTGCAGCCAGCCTTTATGCTTGGCTATATTCATAGACCGTGTGGCAGGGGAAAAGTTTTGTTCTGAATTTTTATTAAACACAGCACTTCTGTTAACAAGTGGACAGAGGAAGAAATGAAACTG